GGAAAGGACACTGCGCATATGTATGTAATGAACGCCGACATCTCGGCTGTTAGGGATCGCGGAAAGATTATGGAGAAACGTACGAGACGATTGCGTGCTCGATTTGGACAAGTCGACGTGAGGAAAATTGTAGAAAATCGCAGCTTCTGGTGGAGAACTCCGAATGTCGATACTCGCGATACAGGCGAATCATTTGTCGTAGAAGAGAAACAATAAACGGATCGATCGGCTCGATCGACGATCGAGCGATAATATTCAACGATGAGCATGTATGTACATATGTTATCAGGCGTTATCAATGTTTATCGAGGAAGCTACTGCTACGTGTTAACACACGTACGTACGACGGACGCGGGGTGTTGCATGCTCCGTTTTAGCGAAACGGATAGAGTGTGCGCGTTTCCGAGACGTTGAAATGAGGTTATAAATATCCTTCGATTGATCAATAAAACTTGGCGGATACAGTAATCGTAGACAGAGACGCCGTTTTCTTCCGTGTCACGTGGCGTGCAGCTCCGATTGTTTTAATCGCGTGTTTATTATTAGGTCGGCAGCCCTTTTCTCACGAATATATGTCAGACGTCACATCGACATTGACAAATGACAAGAATGTCACGTTGCGTGTGATTAGATGTTTATGTTACATAATATGTAAAATATCCACTAAAGAGTAACGATATATCTTTCTTTTAGCATACAAATAAATTATCTTTTCTGATAACACACCCGTTCGTTGCTATTAATTGCTATAATTATAAAAAATTAAACATTATGAATAATGTTCATAATTTAAAATTGTGTGCAAAACTGAAGTCACAAATAATTCGTATTCGAAGAAAAGCGTATTGTAAATAATGTAAATATATAATTTTTTAATGTAATTACGCTTATTTTGAAAAATTTTGTTTAAGCCAGAATTTACTCCTTTTACATATAATCAATTATAGCCTCTTTTCTCCGAATAATTATTCGGTATCAAAGTAATACTTTTTAATCCAAATAAGGAGTTGGTATCTAAAGACAGAAATATCCGTTAGTGTTAATAGCATTAATAAAACTATATATACATATAAATAAAAGAAACATATAGAACAATTAAACCCAAATTAAGCTAAAGTTCATATCCCTGCATTTTTCTCATACACTTATCCCCTTATCCTATCAATAATTTGCCTAACATATGATTTTATGAATAAATCAGGTATTTTTACAAAAAAAGAAATATATATCGATAAATAAATTAAATCTACTAATTATTTAAAATGCTCGTAGTATTCATCATGGTAATCAATATCGATACGCTTTTTTAATTTACGAAAGAATGAGATAAATATACTATATATAGCATACTTACATGTTAATTTAATTATAAGTGTACATAAATATATATATATATATATATATATATATATATATAATTTTAATATAGAGAGAGCTAGGATAAAGCTATAATAGCTATATAAACTGTATAAAGCTTAACAGGGATAAATACTCAAATATATTTTTATGCAAAAAATATCAAAAATTTATTTTAAAATTTTACATAGTTTCATACTTTTGCACGGCTCTAAAGGTAAAAAATCACATTTATAATTATATATAGGAAAACACCGCATACACACTCTGGTAATCATTTACAGAAAGACAAAAAAAAATTGTGTCTCCTGTAAAATCATTCTTCCATGTGTTTGTTAATAGTATTATAAATTTCTGCTTATAATTTGAGTTTCAAGCTTTCGTTTTCGGTTATTATTAAATCTTGGAACCAATAATCGCTGAAGACTTTTTTTACAAACAGTTCTATCTGTGTTTAAAATCCATTAACTGACTAGTGACTCAATGGAATATCATTCAACGAGATTCGTATCGATTATAAGGTCTAAATTTTAGCTTTTATAATGCTCAGTTATTCATAAAAGTCTGTATAGCAATTCTTGGTCGTTCGAAGACTCAGTCCTAGATAAATCTACCGTATCGTTACATGTTGACGCGTCTTCTTTCGGAAGTATATACTCAGAGTAGAAGTGTTTTCCTTCGACATACTCAGTGTAAGAATATTTTTTATTTTAATTTGAAACTATTGCTATTGGTAAAAAAGCCGCACGTGGTCAATATAACGATAACGATACTGTCAGAGTTACAGAATAGGGCTACAGATTAAGTTCTTGCAGAAGTGATTCGATTTGTGATGTTGAGTTTGCTTTTTTATACAAAATCGTAATTAAGACAAGATTGGATCTGATTAATGAGAGATTTCTGAGTGTAGTATGTAAAACATCACCTGTAAGTATCCCTGATTCCTTGTAAAAATGAATATTACGTACCAACTTCGCAAAGTAATTTTTGACATTGATCTTTAGTAAATGTAATAATAATGTCTCTCTTCTTATCGGGGATGTTATACAAGTCTTTAGGAAAGTGTTAAAATCTTCCAAATGTTCAACAGTGAAACTTTTCTCTAATAATCTGTACGAATATATATCTGATACATCGTCAGATCTCTCATTTTCAGGGTTTTCCATAATATCTTGTGGAATTTCTAAAGATAGATCCTTGCCCAGAACTTGACAAATCTTCTCCCATATTTCGTCACAGCCTGCTTCTTCTTGAAAATGTAGGGTTATGTAGACACAATCTGCTTCGAACCATGTCATACTATTCTAAAATCATATACATATTTTCCTATACAAATCTATATATGCACACATCATGCCACACATCAATTATATATTTAATACGTTAATATGTATATAATAATGTAAGAACATATTGAATTTTCTATCTTTCTAATATAAAAACATAAAATATATTTAATACTTAGGAGAAATAACTGACATTTAACGAATTCCTTTATTATATTGACCTTTATAGTAAACAAATCAAGAAAGTTCGGTTTTCCATCATTTACAAACATCGCAACTAGAAGGGCAAACTTTATACAAGATGGCAAAGCAACAGAAATGTAATATTTAATCGTCAATATCTGCGCATTATGCTTGAAAAAAGTCATAGATTGTTGCAAGAATCATAAGAAAAGCAAATTCATGAAATTCTCCAATTACCACTTCTCTCCGATATTTTTTATCAGGTTGTACAGGGCTGGACAGCATGAGAGTGTTATTGCCTTCTGCTTTTACCTCAAGGCAAGTCAGCTTACTCAGCTGTAAGTCGAAACACTCAGAGAAAACGAGACCCGTACCAAGTTCGTCCCATTGCTTATCTGCATTAAGAATATACAGTTTTACTCTTCTACCGTCATCCGTCATATTGAAAAAGTAATCACGCAGTGCGCTCTCCGTGTCACAAACTATATTGCCTTTCTGGACTCGCACAATCTTTGGCTTTCTCGGCAGTTGTCTCTATGAAAATTCTAGGATACCTGTTGGAGCAATAAATGGATACATATATTAGACTTCCACGTATTGTACCTTTGTATGTACGGTCCATCAAAATTTATTCTATTGCATCATACGTGTGATATAAAGTGTACAAACAAAACGTACCCTGTTGGTGTCTCTCTGCTGGAAGGTGCTGTACAAAAAGCAGCGTCCGGCGTTCGTGATTCTCAACAAGTCTTCTTCTTATTGATGGTTTCCGGCTCACGTTCTCAACACGAGGTTGATTCAGCCGGGTTCGATTTTCAAGTAGTGCCATGTAAATAATAATGTACGTATGTACATACATATAATCAAACTACACACGTGTTGGGAGATTTAAAATTTCTGGCGCATGCGCAGATTGCGTAGCGTGAGTCTTTCAGACGACTAGTAGTGTAATATAATGCTACCTGGGTAGGTATCGTCAAATCCAGTCCTAGTCTACAATAGGAAAGCCCTAAGAAATTGACCAATCACAGTCAATTATTTTCCTCAAATTCAACTGTGATTAAACAATTTCTTAAGGCTCAGGGTTTAAAACACTTATTGTAGACCAGGACTTAATTTTTCTTTTAAAGGCGTGAGTTTACTTATTTATATGTAATCAATAGTAGTCTCTTCTATGAATAATTATCAGGTACCAAAGTAACTTTTTAATTCAAGGTGTTGATATCTGAAGATAAAAACATCCAGTTCGTATTAAAGCATTAATAAAAATATCGATATATTAATATAGAGATCTAAATATAAAACAATTTACTAAAATTGGGCTAAAGTTCATGTCCTTGAATTTCTCTCATATACATATCTTCTCTGCAATTTATTTTATTTATGTTTTATTTTATAAATCATATATTTTTACCAAAAAAAAACCAAAGAAAAACATCGATAAATAAATTACATCTGCTAATTATCGGAAATGATTGTATTGTTCATCATAGTAATCAATATAGATATGTTTTCTTGGTTGTACGAAAGGATGAGACAGACATGTAGCATATTTACATAATAATATAATTATAAATGTACATAAGAATTTTCCATATATTAAAGCTTAGGGATAAAGGTACTCAAACACATTTTTATGCAAAGAATATCAAATTAATTTTAAAGTTTTACATAGTTTCGTGAGAAATATTCTCATACGGCTGTAAAGGTCACATAGAGAAGCAAGAAAATCTGTAATTATGTACAGGTAAACATGTTTAGAAATCTCAAAATCATAACGTCAATGGAATTAATTTCTTGCATTCCGTATGTACTCTGATAACCATTTACAAAAAGAAAGACAGAAAATTGTCATTCCTATAAAATCATTCTTTCATGTGATTATGATTATTGGTAGTATAACTTCAGTTTGTAATTTGAGTCTCAAGCTTTCAGTCTCGGTTATTAATAAATCCTGGATTTAACAATCGCTAGATTTTTTTATAAATAGTTCTATCTGTACTTAAAACCCATTAACTGACCACTGACCGAATGGAATATCATTCAACAAGGCTCTCTCATACCGATCACAAAATTCAAACTTTAGCTTTTACAGTCCTCAATTATTGACCGCTTGCGTTGAGGCCGCTAATAAACCAAGTTAACTATTATGTTACATAAGTTATCACACAATTTTATTTTTACTTATTCTGTCTGTCCAGATGAAAATTTTTTTATCCTACACTTGATCATTTCCTGTTTGCTCACAGAGTTAGATAAATCTACCGTATCATTACGTGTCGACGCGTCTTCCTTCGATGTACTCGGAGTAGAAGCGTTTTCTTTCGACGTACTCGGAATAGAAGCGTTTTCTTTCGACGTACTCGGAATAGAAGCGTTTTCTTTCGACGTACTCGCAGTAGAAGTGTTTTCTTCCGACGTACTCGGAGTAGGAGTGTTCTCTACTTTAACTTGAGAACTTTCGTTATTGACTCCAGTATTCGTGTTCGCTATGCCACTTGGCCCTGGTTCTGCCATCGTAGATATATCTGACGTACTATCGATATTGCTTGTAGGATTATTGTTCACAGGAATGCTATGGATGTTAAATCATGTATATTTTATAAATATTACGAATACATATGTATTATTAATAGAATGTTATACTCACTTAGCAGTATCAACTGCTCTTTGATAATGATTAATCATCATTGCATAGCCTGCATCAAATAAAAGTTGAACCCTTTGCAGCATTTGTATCCTGGCTTCAACAGCTTGCCGCATGTTACCTTCCATCGCTCTGAGTTCTTCATCACTTAATTCGGTAAAATTCGATGGTGGTAGGGGAATAGGCGGCAATGGTACCATTTGAGGAAACAGCGGTGCGAAAAGCGGGATATTTCTTCCAGCATTATTTTGAGGTTGCTGCTGCTGCTGTTGTTGTGATTGCTGCTGCTGCTGCTGTTGTTGTTGTTGTTGTTGTTGTTGTTGTTGCGGCGGTGGCATTCCTGGAGCTGGTAATCCAGTCCAAAATACCGGGAAATGAAAGGGTGGTCCTACGCCAAGTAATAAAAAAAATAGATTAAAATAAATAATATATATTCCATCATTACGTAGAAGACGACTAAGAAACAATACATACCGATAGGGTTGACACCAGGTGCTTGTGGAGGCTGCGGAGGCACCTGCGGTACAGGCTGGGGAGGATTTTGCTGTCTAGGTGGTGCGTTGTTTGGCGTAGGCCCCAAAATGTTCAAACGACAGGTCGGACATGTTTGTTGACGTTGAAACCAATTACGTAAACACGCGGTATGGAAGATGTGATTACACGGCAATTTTTTACTAGCTGTGACCATCTCCTCTCTGTACAAGCATAACACATTAGGACAGTGGATGTGTTCAGGAGACACAACCGTTGAGTGAGCGCTTAGTGGTTCTTTATTATGATTGGTTCTCACACTTATTGTTAGTTAGATCCGGAGAAGGACCAAAGACAAGAACCAATCGTATTAAAGAATCACCGAGCTCTCGCTCAACGGTTGTTTCCTGAACGCGTCCAGTATTGCGAGAAAATAACTTTACTCATTGCAATACCCACCGGCATATAATGCAAACATTATCAGCAGCAGCCAATTCCTCAGTTGTTGCATCCGGATAAAGGGTATTCATGTTCCTGATAGCTCTTCGAGACATTACAATATCATGGAATGCTTTCTTGAAGTCTCGCATTGTATAGTACATAGGACGCAATGCAAATAAGGGTAACGTAAATAACTTTATCATTAAGGTTACAAAAGCAACGAAGAGGAATACCTGGAAGAAAACAACGGTTTGATAAAGAAGATACAAGCACATACGTGTATAGAGTTACGAATTAATATAGACATGAGAGTTTTGCATCAATTACCTTCAATATGCCAATAATCAATTCTGTATACAACAAAAATACTGGTTTGTTATCCCACGGAGTTTCGCTTTGCAAATCGATAGTATGCAGGACGTATTTTACGGTAATATTAAAAACAACGGTCAGCAAAATTGCATATTCAAAGCCAAACACAAGTTGTACGGAGGGGCCTTTAGTGGCTGTTATATTGTAGGCGTAATTAATCATCGTTAGATTGATGGCGAACAAAATACTTAGTAAACTAGCGACTCTGAGATGGAATAACCATGTTATTACTGGGCTTCTTTCCATCTGAAAGATAAAAGATCATTGAATACCTGTACGTAGACATAATTATATAGATATAAATAACATCAACATGTAATAAAAATGAATAGATCGATATTCATTGGCATTGGGATATCTTCACTGGATAATGCAAAACTCACATAATCAACGCGATCCTCTGCGAGCCAGTGAAACGACTTTAGGAACAAGAGGAGAGTAAATAACGCTATGAACTTGGGGCTGAAGTCATCCCTGAACACTGTAAACGCCAGGCACGTCTCGGTCACGGCGTACCAGACCTTTTCCACCAGGTGCTGCAAAACGACAAGGCGAACGTTACGAGACGATCAGGTCGACGATGAGAAGACGTGGAGGGAGAGAGAGAGAGAGGCTGGCGCTTACCTCGAGCTCGGTGGCGCGTAGAGTGCCGAAAAAGATCTTTCGCAGAAAGGCGTTTATCATGAACGCAAGGATGAATCCTTGCGTGTAGATCACCTGAGCACAAAGCAATACATATGTGACGGTAATATGGGGCGCACATTTGTTAAGCGTGCTTTATCAGCGTGAGAATGGTTCAACGGGAAAAGGCTCAACTCACGGTCATGCTCGGATTCGATTTGGTTATGTGAACGACGGTCGGATAGAACTGTTTTCTCTGATAGTACGCATTGCCGATAACGACGCACGTTAGCGCGGTGCTTATCAGCATGATCCCGGCCTCCCTCATTTTCGTGCCGGTCGCTTTTTCGTACAGCCCGTAATACGCCTACCGCGTTTCCCAAACGGAGAAAATCGCTGACACTTGCGTTATCGCACACGAAGAATTTGCTTCGGAATCGCACACGGATTCCCGACGATCCCGTACCCCCGTACCACGACACCACCTCGGAGCCAACCGTATATACAATACAAACATGCGCACACACTGCACGACTGCACACGTATGTCACGTATGCGACACGTGTGCGCACGCGCACACGCACACACAACGGCGCGCCGAGTATCGGTACGTGGCGCTGATTTCGTGACAATTATCGGTAATCGCGGTATTCTTTGAACAACATACGTCCATACGTGTTTTAAACATAATATGTCCCTCCTTTTTACTTTTTTTTTTTTTTTTTTTAATGAGAACATTTAATTAAGGCAAACTGATGTCGTGATTCGTTATCAGTTGCAATCGTTACCTCGTCAATTATGTAAGACGCGATGTGTCAACCGCTATGTTGTGACAGCTAGCGAGAGACAAACGGTGCTACGTGATTGGTCGCGCCGCGACCGTTGAACCACGTGGACTGCGATGATTTTCGCTCTCGTCGGAGAAGCATGCTGACAGGTGACGTCGTAAATATTTAAAAGGGAGCGGGTGCGACGTGGCTGAACGCCAATTCTTCCGAAAGAAAGTTACGAGAAAGCGTACGCAAAAATATAGTAACGATATAATTAGTCTCATTTGTAATAGATACATCCACAAGTCAAATGTCAATTATAGTTGATTTGTGTTACATGTAAACGAACGACGATAGGAATATTGCTGAATTTGTCATCGAATGACAATGAACGTGATGTATTTAAGAGCGCAGATGCACGCAATGACTAGCCTTAAAGATATTTCAAATGTTTCCGTGTATTATCCTTAAAGAAAAAAAAAAGATAAATTTGCTAAACTACAACAGATATGTAATCGACGTCTTTAAATCACTATTTTTCAAATGTGACTTTAAACGCTTAAACTATCAGTTTTGCTCCTGCGACTATTTATACTTGTAGTAACTTCCGTACATTTTGCTAATATAAGTATTCAATATATTAACAACACCACACAAAAGATATTGATTATATTATTTTAAAAATGTATAAAAATTATAGTTTCTTAAAATAACGTGTATATATATATTATATATATATGTATACATATATGAGACTAATTCAACATATAGTACTTATGATGATACTTCTGGTTACGTATACATACTGAGAGCTCTTGTTTTCAAGATACTTTTAGGACTTTGACGTTTTGGGGTTCCTAGGTGTGCCGTTGCTTTCAATGGTGTTCTACGTGTGTCAACTGGAGGCCTACGCACTAATTTTGAACTTTTTGGCGTTTTTACTGTTAAAGGTCGCTTAATATGCGGGGTTTTGCTAACATCTGATTTGTAAGGAGACATATTTGGATTGTCTAGCGTTGTACTGACAGGCATCTTCGTCAATGGCGATCCTTTTGCGGCGAGGTTTTCCTTCTGATGAATTTTCGTGTCGTGCGCGATGTTAATCTCTTTATCTTTAGTGAAAGTTTGATATATAGCTGGATCCTTGTTCGAAAGTTTCTGATTTTGCAGCTCAAATTTCCGCACGGAACGGTAATGCTCGTTCAATCCTTTTTGAAACGATTTTAATGACGTATCTATTACTTGCGTTTTAATTTGCGGAGACAACGCCGCGTGACGATTCTTATTTTTCGAATCCTTGTTGGACTTTTTTCGAGAGATTTGTGTCCTGTTACAAGTTTGCTTAAAATGTTCAACATCCACTTCTTTAGCTAAATTTGGAGAATGTTTAGTTACATTGTCACGACAATGTTTCCTATTTGATAAATTACTCGGTACAAATTCGGATGTTTTCGTAGTGCCCTCGTCAAATAATCTTGCTTTAGCTAATACCATACCAGCATTTTGTGTTCGAAGTTTCGCGACGGATGCTCTGCCGGTCTGTGGAGCAGGTGTATTTGTTCGGGCTGATTTAAAATATTTATCCGCATCTTTCCAAGATATTTTGTTCGAGCCCTCGAAAACAGTCTTGTTTCTTTGTAAACAATCATTATTTAAGGTTACATTTTGATGACTGTTCGCCTTTTTTAAGTCATCAATTTTCTTATCAAAATAGGATGAATTATCTACAAAATCTTTTCCATGAAATGATGATGCTCTACGCACAGGTGTAGTCGTATTGTTATTATTTAAATGGAGATCTTTAAATCCAGAAATATCCAAGTCACTATTATTTGAAATCTTGCGTTGTCCGTTTGAACGAGAAATCAATGTATTAATTTGATTATGTAAACAGGCTATCTCATCTCTCATATTGTTAGAAATATTTTCATTACATGTTTCAGCAGAATGAGATTGCTCCTCTAAGTATTTATTAGAATAAGTCGATTGTTCGGTGGGATAAACATTTACTCTTCCGAGTTGAATGTGATGTAAGTTAAATTCTGGAGAAGTATGCCACGATGCAGATCTTCTAACACGTTTGCTGTAAACATTAAAATAATAGTTTATTAGAATAAGTTTTATATTATTCTTATAACTATATTTTCATATTACTTAAATATTTTATTCTTTATATATTAGAAGATTGCATATTTTTTATGAATAGAAATTTATATACTTTTTAATAAGACTTCAAAATATACAATAATAATAATAGTTTATGTTATATTAAACAAATATTGTAATAGTTTGTAAATGTGATCCAATTACCTTGTGACTTTCTCTTGTGAACGTCTTCTTAACGATCCAATTTTTCTTGCGCTGGGAGATCTTATGATTTTATGTTCTCCCGACCTTCTGATCTTTAGTTCTTTACTCAGTCTTTTTGCTAGATAGTCGCTTGTCAGAGTATTCTCAATACTAGCCTCTTCTAATGTTTTCTCGTACGCTGTCTGTACATTGTTTAGCGAATGTGTAGTTATATCATTCTTCTCGTTGTATATACATCCAAATTCTTGAGAAATACGCGATTCAATTGCAGAAACTCGATTTTTTATGTCTTCGTATTCACTTTTAGGGATTCTGACATAATCCTCTTCACAGTGATCACTTGATGAAGATATTATGACACTACTAGGAAGAAATGTATCAAATTCTTCCGAATCAGTCATCTTTTCCTCAGGTGTCAACAAGCATATATTATCACTTTCATCTGTAGCATCCAATTTTCTCGAACTTGTGCTTACATTCATATGCCATTGTTCACCACTTCTACGACGACATTTATTTATAAGCAAGTCCCGCCCGCCACCATCATCTGATAAATCCACAGTGGCATTAATGAATACATCGTTATACTCTTGGCGAAAATCATTATTTGATGGTTCATCATATTTGGTTAATCTCAGTTCTGGTATTCCGTCGTTGCATTCACATATTTTATGTGCATCGAAAGAATTGCTTACTGAACTCCAACGTCTTTCATTACACAGTTTGTAATTACCCATATATGAATCTGATAGGTTACCATCAACGCTCTTCTGAAAGTATTTAAAATAAAATTATTGTAATTAAAATAAGTTATATAATACTACTTGATAGTCACAACTTTAATAGATCTTTTAAAATTTACTCATTGATATTAATTTAGAACAATTTTTCATTTTATATATCAAAGTATGGAAGTAGATATACTTACTTGTTTATTCTTAGGTACCAATTTGTCTAAACTCAGTCTTAGTTTCTTTGGCTTATCTGATTTATCAGCCATTCTCCTAAAACATACATTATATAGATATATTATTCCGTGTGTCAATATTATTTTAAATTAAATATAAAACTAAATACATACATATATATATGTATAGAAAAAGAAAGGAAAAATGACATATAACATAACAGCAAAAGAATAAATAATTTTTCATTACGTTTTCTTTATGCCCGCCGGATGTTCCCTTTCAGTTACTTTTCGCTTTTTGGTAAATTTGTTAGAAGCCATATTTAATTCCATTGGATGTATAAGAGATTGCGGATGATTAATATTAGATGGATCATCTGTGCCTTTTCCAACCATCTTCTTTAAGCCGTTGAACATTCCTGTATAAAACATTACCCCATATGCAAAGTATTGTTATATATGTAGAGATATAAGAGAAAACTGTAAAAGTTTATACATGATCTTAATCAAATGATGTTACAGGAAACAAAAACAAATTACATTTTAATAAATATAATAATGTTAGGATGTTGTTTTACTTAATCTTGTTAATCTTTTGATTGACATTATAAATCTTATATTAACGTTTATGTAAAAATATATTTTATACATATGTATGAGCCAATAAATACATTTTCAGATATATTAGATAAAAGTTGGGAATATACTTAAATATGACTTACGTGTAAGACTTCCACTACGATGCTTCTTCTTTTTATGCTTTCTGTGTAGCTCAAACGAGTCCAGTCCATTGTCAGTGCTGCCGCTTGTTTCGGTAGAAACACTTTGTGCGATATGAGGTGGTAGGATGCCAATACTTTCTGAATTTTCAATCAGAATCTGCAACAAAATTAGTTTAAGTAATAATTGTTTCTTCGTATTATTTATTGATATTCTCTAAAACACCTATATCACCTTGACAATAGTTAAATGCATCTGCAATCTATTCTGTACAGCTGCCATGGACGTTTCTTGCAACGGCATGATATTCGGTCCAATGACTTTCGCCAGGTTCTCAACGCTCATCTTGTTTTGTTTCTCGTACATAGAAACCTTCTTCAAGAACTCCATGAGGAATGCCAAGGTGTTCAAGTGATACGGCGGCAGCAACGTACACGCTAGCAGCAACGCCTGCACCCGATGGCTCTTCAGCAACGCGCAGTGCACGAACAGGTCGTGGTACGCGTACGGAATCAGCGGCTCGGGCAAGTCTCGGAAGAAGGATTTCAGACAATTGGCAATGTCGACCGCGTGATTCTTGTCGCCTAAACCGCCGCCGTTATCCAGACGAGCTATCAATTCCCTCTGTCGCGCTTGTGATCCGGCCTTTCTGAACAGACCCTCCTGAGCGACGTGTTCTTCCAGGAACGTTGTGGCTTGAATCACAAACACAGGCACGTGGACTATGGCGCCCGACGACAGATTGACAATGTCCAAGGCTTGGTAAAACAAAGGGATCTTGAAGACCTTCTTGGATATGTCCCTGCACACCTCGGGCCTCTCGCTCTTAAGCATACTCTTCTTGAAGCGATACTTAACTCCGAGGCCCCGGAGATCACTGGCAACAGCGTGGTACACCCTCTCCTTGTGCAACACATCGTAGATCAACATCTTCGGCGCGTCGTAGGCCGTACGAGTCCGCCGACAGATCGATTCTTCAACGAGGAATTTATTAATTACACGTTGTTCGAGCGTCCCATCATTCGCATCACGCATCCCTCGTCACCCGTTTTTCGTATTGAATTGACACCCCTCCAGTGCTGCCAACGTCACGATCGTGAAGGACGAAAGTCCCCGTAGTAAAGGCGCGTAAAGGCGCCATCGCAACGTCGCGAATGCATCTGGCACTGACTGCGTGCGTTATTCTTTCGCACGATAAATATCGAAACGCTGTTTGTCGCATCGTGCATGGGCAAACTCCGATTAATTAATTAATTAAACTAGCAGAATTGCTTGAAGCCAAAGATTTTAACTATATAATTCATTTATATTCCTTATCTAATTTTTCTTCCAAATTTAAATGACGAGAAATTGATGTAAAAATTTTAAAACTCAATTTTTCAGATGTTTCATACAAATTGGAACATTTTTCAGAAAAACTCGGACAAAATAATAAAATAAAATATTTCAGATTTTTCCTGTCAACACATCTTTGTAGAAATCTGAATAAATGTGAGAACATTCGCGCAAATTATCCGAAATTTTCATACAGATACTAAAATATTTCAAAAACTATCTAAAAATTTTTACATATTTTTCAGTTTTTCATAAATCTAAAAAAAATTCTTAGAAAATTTCTGAAAAAATATGAGAAATTCTTTCACCAGGGTTCATCGATGAATCACGCTATGCGTCTACATGTGTAGCGGCCTTTAGTGAGCAAGTAGCGTATAAATGACCGGATTCGTCGTGGAATGTGGAGATTGTGGAATTCGCTGTCGCTACTCACTTGTCAGTGCCGTGCATACTGCGTGCTAGTGCATGCTGGTGCACGCAATTGTTTGATTCGAGCTCGCAATCGTCGCAATTGATTTCAAAGAATGTGATCTTTCACCGTTGATTTCGGAGCTCTCGGTCCGGTCTTCTGTCCGATATTTTGTTACGCGCGTACGCCGTATTTTTAGACGCGACCGATCAGTCTCGTCTGGCCAGACATAGCGACTCGATTACGATTTTACGAGGCGAGGCGCCCAGCGACGCGAGAGTACATATCATATCGCGAAATGACGCGCGCGTGACAAGGGAGAGGACCATCAGACCATCACCATCTGGCGCCGTCTGCTCCTGCGAAGGTCGTTCGGGGTCACCCGTTTCACCCGTCTGGTCGCCGCGCGACGTGTCATCGGATCGAGACGAGGTGTTATCGTTTTTTTTCCATGCCGGCCAGGTCCCCGACAATCGATAGGAAAGCATGCGTGTGCACGGATTCGTGAGCCTCGCTCGTCGAGGGACTCGGCGCGCGTACGGCTGTCCTCGACGCCCGGAGGCGACCTGGACGCGCCCGCGAGGTTAGGTGGGCCGCGACCAGCCATGAAGAGCCCGGTGACGTCCCAGCGCCTGAACGGGACCAACGCGCATCCCGTCCCGTCGACAAGCCCGCTGCAGACTTTAGGAGGCGCCAAGTCCCGTCACAACAACGCCGCCAATAGCTTCCAGGTGGTGAAGGTCGCCGGACGCGAGTCCGGCTGCTACATCGCCAGCAACATCGCGCCGAAGATCGGCAAGCAGCAATTGGTGTCCCTGAACGGGGACACGGTGCGCTGCGACAGCGTCAACTGCGACGAGGCGCTGGCGTGCGATGTGGCGCCCATACCGGCGACGAAGACCAAGGCCCTGTGCGTGCACATCAGGGAGAACAAGTGGTACGACGCCGGTAACGTGGTCTCCGTCGGGGTAGCGGGAACCAGCCTGAATCATGCCCTGGAAAGCATGTCCCTGGCTTACAATCCTTCTACGAAGCAGCTGTATTCCGTGGAGGAGGCCAGGACGCCCAGCAATGCACAAATCGACTGTACTCCACAGTACCTAGAATCTCCATGTAACGGTAAGGAACAAGCGCCGAGTGTGAAACTTGACGCGGACAAATATACGAAACTTGAAAATGTCAGTGCAAACAGTAGTCCAAGAAATAGTCTGCCACGCTCGTGTAGCAGCACAGTGTCTTCCCTTAGCGAGATATCACCTTCGGGCAGCTTTCTAGGATCCGACGAGCAACACCTCGTGGAAAAAGCTGATAAGATACCCAAACGTTGGGGATTGAACACGATTTTTACGAAGAATGTGTTTTCGTGGAAGAATAGAGGTTCTCAACAGTCGACACCTACAGGTAGCCCATCGAGAAATATCGACAAGGTAGGCGGTAGTACAGCTTTAATTCAACAGCCGAGACCAGCGAGTTTACCAGCTAAAAATGCACTGGAAGAAGAACGCCATCGTAAGCAATACAATGCTATTTTAGAGGCAGCAAGGAAGAGAGAACTGCGCGAAGAGAGGGAGCGTAAGCAGCAACGGGAATGTCAGCTGAGAGAGGAGAAGAGATTAGCCGAGGATTCCAACGCGTGGAATGTACACGTTTTACCTAAGTTCGAGAGTGTTAAGAATACGAAAAGAGTAAGGGAACTGTGGTGGCGCGGTTTGCCGCCGAGTGTTCGTGGTAGAGTATGGAAATTAGCGATTTCGAATAATTTGAATGTAACGCCGCACCTCTACAATCTTTGCTTAGACAGGGCAATGTCGAGCCCCAACAATGAGTCATTAGCCGCTATCAGATTAGACGTATCTCGTACCTTTCCTACCTTATGTGTCTTTCAAGAGGGTGGACCATTATTCGATAGCCTTCAGGGTATTTTGGCAGCGTATGCCGTATACAGACCGGACGTAGGCTACGTGCAAGGTATGAGTTTCGTGGGTGCTGTTTTATCATTAAATATGGAACCGCCGGACGCCTTTGCCTGCTTCGCGAATCTGCTAAATCATCCTTGCCACAGAGCCGCCTTTACATTGGACCAAAAAAGAATGGATACTTACTATAAAGTATATTCCAGTGCTCTTGCGCATAAGCTGCCAAAAGTCTTTTCTCATTTTACCGTAGCAGGATTAAGCCCGGACTTGTATCTATTAGATTGGTTGTATACTATATACGCTAAAGCAATGCCTCTTGATGTCGCATGTAGAATCTGGGATGTCTTTCTCAGAGATGGAGACGAGTTCCTCTTCAGAACCGCGCTGGGAGTGTTGCACTTGTATCAAGAAGAGTTATTAAAAATGGATTTCGTACACGGCGCACAATTTCTCACTAGATTGCCGGAGAATCTACAAGCGGAATCCTTATTCAACAGTATTAGTCAGATGTCTACTACTGTTGGGACGACAACATTCCAGCAAATGTTGGTTCAATATTCTTCGTAATTTAGTATAGCAAAGGTATAGCAAAATTGAAGTTTTCTTATTGTGATAACAAAATCTTTGTGCAAACAATTTTATACATTATTTATTATTATTTGAAATTAAAAATCTAATGACTTGTCTGAAAATTTTATATTAAGATATCATGATTTGTGTTTGTTTGCGAATAACTTGTACTGAATGTTTCAGAAACGATACATGGGAATATCGTTTCTCCGATCTTTTAGAAGAAGAAATAATCTTTATTCAAATCTTTTGTTTTATAATTGACACAAAAATATAATGTAGATATTAATTGCACAATAGATTAGACAGATAATTTTCAAAAATTTATGACAAAATATATTTTTGTTATAAATTTCTGGAAATTATATATAAAATGAATAAATTTGTTATGGAAATATTTTCCATGTAAATAATTGATTGTGCTATTTAGTCGTAAATATGTTTTTTACAACGAATGAAATTGGAAAAAAATGATCTGCAATATAAAACATGAATGCTCCATTACTAGATCTATGTATACTCGTTTACATTTTTTGAAACATGATATATTTTAAATTTAAATATAATATCTTGAAAGTACCTTTCAAAAAGCGAAAGAGAATATTATAAGTTAAAATTTTAACTTATTTGAATATATACATTTTATATTACTTCTGTTTTAGTTTTCATCAACTTTTATTATAGATATTTATGACAGTTTCTCATAATTTGTGATATATAAACATCCGAAATATCAATCTTGCTTCACATATGTATACCACTATATATGCAATGTTGCATTTCAGCTTTTGAGATATTGATCCATTCTTTGTATATCCTCTCAATTTTTACATTCTCTTCAAGACTGAAGGGAGATATATACTCAAATACAACAATATTATTCAGCTGCAACACAGGTATTATCCTCATAAATACACATTCACGAATATAGAACTAGCCGAAACAAAAAAAAATGTTTTTGCTGCATAATATTTAATTGCTATTTAAATTCTGGACATGTTGATATTTCTGACGATACGGCATAATAAATATCTAATGAAACAGTCGAGATTACATACCGGGAAACGTACGTTTTGTCAAAAATTTTTGATTAATATTGGCCACAAAAAAAGCGGAGCTAAATAGTGCGAACATATACACAATATACAATTAAAAAATTTCTAAGGAGATTTTTTATAATTTGAAATTGTAACATTTATCTTACTAAAAGTATGCAATTTATAACACTGTACTTTTTTGTCAAATTTTTCTTATATGTAACAAATTACAGTTTTCTGCAGTTGGAGTTTTTTCCAACGCAAATCAATGCACATTGTTTGCATTATTTCGCTTCGTTATTTTTAGTCTTTGGCAATCATGGATCAAGTGTTGAGTACGAGATTATTGCAGTGAAGCGTATGATAAAATGTTTATGGTATACAATAGATATTTTACTAATTTATACGTTTTAAATTAGCATTTAGATGATTTTTTTTATTAATATCGTTACGGTGTGGCAATTTATTTAGTTTAAAATAGCGAAATCTTATCATGTCCCGTCTTTTGAGTGGCCTTCATAATGAAGATAAGATAAATTCGAGATTTAAGAATGTGCGAAACTATGCAATTATCGAATTTTATTCTCTAGGGAAAGTAATCTCACAAATGTATTTTCGTACAACTGCAATATGCTTACTGAATGTGCTTGTTGTATACCGCCCTGTTTAATACGGATGTAGGTAGAACGAAAAGATTTTAGGTCTCAACATTTCGAATAGATGATACCACCAATTGACCAGCCTTAAGGTTGCTATCCATTAATATTTCAGGATGACAGTCACGAGTACGTTACAGTAGCTTCACATACAGCATAGCTTGGGAGCTTGAAAATTATACAGAAGAATATAGAATATCATCATCTACCAATATAAAATTATATTCAAATATATATAAAATATATCTCTTTTATATAATGTGGGCAAGTTTTAGAGCAACGTGATAAAGTTGGAAACATCTGCGAAAATACTAGTCGCTGAAACAAACAATATGACATAACTGTCGCGGCTCATTAAATTCTCATTTATTTTTACGAGACGAGATTATCTATATTATAACAGTATATATTGTGACGTTTTGGTTGTACCTATGTGTTTATACGTGTGCGTTTTTATATATTATGCGATAATTTGCGCGACTAGTGTGCAACCAATGGATGTGCTTCTCAATGACACTATATACAATACATAATATATGATTTATAGAAAATATGTGATTCTCATCGTATCAAGATACACATACGAAAACGTATTGAGACGTGAGACGTAAGTGAACTCACGAGTGTAATATATATCCTAGTTTTTAATCGACAATACTCTCATTCCATCCATTATCCCAAACTACTACTTAGCGTTCATGAACAATACATAACGAATAAGTTTGTAGATGTATATAAAGAGAGCACAAATGGATAAGACGTAATTAGAACACGATGAATTAAATTATTTCAAAACTTTTAATACAAAATTGTATATCTATACGTGCGTAGGTTAACAGCTTCGTTCATGCATTTATCTACGACAGATTTTCTCTTTTTTTTTTTTTAATTAAAATAAATTGTTAATCATCAAGTTTGTGTGGCAATAAGATATTAATAGTTTAATGCTCACGAGTTATTAAAATTGAGATTTTTTATCGATTATACAATGTGAAATTATATTTTATACTAATTCTTTTGTGTTATCAAAGTTTCTATGTATTACATGGCCAAAACATTTAAGAGTGCAATTTAAATATCTGCTTTCTATATACACTTCTGTTATTTCGCATATTTTCCAGCTTTGAAAGAGAGATTTTATAAAAGAAACCTTATATAAATTTTATTTAATGATACAGCAAACTTTAACTTTTTTTTCTGATCAGTTCTTTCTTTTTTTGTTGGATTAGTTTTGTTCGTGTTTGCACACGTCTCGATTAATTAAATTGTTTTAACAACTAAATCATATCTGTGTGTATACCTTCTGTCTTGGATATAACGTAATTACTTTCGTAAAATGATCAACGATGATGTGCCAATCGTATCGAAGTTGTAAAGAAATATATGGAAGACATTTACAAGAATTATCTCCGTGCTATAAGCGCAAATCGATTACCAAGTTTTGTAATTATTAGCGTCACGTTATGCGGTTGGTTAATGTAGCGAATGTAATACACTACAGTTGTCTAATTTTTTAGTGATGGATGGTAATGTAATACACAACAAAATGCGACGTTTATGTCGAAAATAATTGTATCCGTTGCACGATCGAAGTGGAACGCGAGTATCTTATAATTTGTCCGCCTTATCGATTTAACGGTCGCATTATAATTACGAATGTGAGTTACTACAGCCAGAAATGTATGTATGTATGTATGTATAATTGGATTGTACACGTGACGTATGCTTGTACATGTATTGATTGCATCGAATACTAGGTATATCTTTATATACCTGCGTTCTTAGAGAATCGCTTAGAGAATCTACAAGGAAAATATGTTTTAAATTTCACAATTCTTGACTTTCTCCGATTACAGTAATTGTATTAAAAATGCGATTTACTGTATCTTTAAATTCATAGAAGACAGTCTCCCATAAATGCGATAGATCTACTCTTAGTCATTATATTTTGAAATACGCTGGAATATACGACGTAGTAACACTTGTTCTTGTGGATATACCTACGTGTATCTTGATTATTTGAGTTTTCTCTACTTAAGGTTGAAGAGATACGATGCCTAAAAGACATAATAAAATCGTGTAAATGCAAACGTTAAAGATCTGTGCACAAACAACCATGCATCATGCACTATGTGACACTTCTGTGTTCCTTGTCGTTAGTGCCTCGATAGAGGGGAACTCATTGTATATTTTATACGCGTTTTATCGTGTGTACATTTACCTTAAGTGCAATATTGTAATAATATATTTTTTAAGGAATCGATCCCACGATATTTATTTTGTCAGATCTACATAGATCGGTAAACACATGTAAAGTATACATAGAAAACGTTAGCGAATTAGAAGTGAAAAAGAAACGAAAGGGAAAAGAAATTTTCATATTTTTTAATACGAAATTTGAAGGAACTGGCTTTTTCGCAGGAAATAAGAACGTGAGATCGTAAAGCGGCTAGTGTTGCGTTACGAATTCCCAAAATCCCGTGGACGATTGCAATAAAACCTGATGCACAACCACGTCTCTAACGATGCTTTTTTATTAGAGGAGGTCTCGCGGCACCGTCGCGGGGGCCGTTATGTACATAACGACACGCTTGCTTCCTAATTTAATCGAAACGTAAGGGTTAACGATATCTACCGCAATAAGTGTAACGACCATTTTTATATCATGTAATGGACTGCGAGCGAAATCGAAGGCGTTGCTAAACGCGCGTACGAGAAACATTGTATAAATGACGCCGGCAACATATCTCTATATGGACGATTTTTTTTTCCTATACGAATAAAAAGTATGCTCTGTGACATCGAAACTTCAAAGTTTTCTCCATTTATTTTTATTCGGCGGAGATAAAAATCACTTTTGCCTCACGACGCGTTACGCGTTACATTCCGTAATTTCGACCGTGTGTTACGTTCCACGCACATGATATTATGTAGTCATATATGAAATAATTTTTTATTATAAGTTAATTCATTAAAAATAAATTAATGAATTTTTTTGCGCTATTCCGACCGCGCGTATCTCGATATTTTAATATTATTTCGCAGAAAGTTTCGTATATGTGTTAAATAAATTATTGCAAGTTACCGCTTCGATTCTCGTGCGTATTAAAATATTTCAAATTTGAATGATTGCTAATTTGCGCCACTCGACTTGCGCCATTGGTGTACATACCTCGTCCAACTTCATATCGTAACCGGTCTCGGGACGCGCCGCGGCGATCACAGAATCGCTCCGTGCTTTTCGCGACGATTACCGGTCCGAAAAGTGAATCTCGCGCGCGAAAGATTGTCGCGGATGTATCTCGTAAGATTATACGTTCTTCGTAACACGTTAAATGTCACGTATACCGGCGTGCAATTTCGCATTGCCCGAGTAGTCGGTCGGAATCGTCCTCGACCCTCGTAGCGTTTCGCCGACGCGCATCGAGAGTGCGGATGCACTCAGTGATCATTACTAGCAGGTATGTACACATATTTTCGTTCTATAATTATATATTCGTTCTATAATTATATTCTAAAATATAAGGTGTCGAAGGATAGTTTCGCGTTTAGAAGGATGTTTCCGCGAGGAAAAAAAATGGCCCGAATTACCGCCGTGAAGGAATATCTCGAGAAGACGTTGAGGGACGAGAGCAAGTCATGGACAAAGATGTTCGTCTTCGCGGAGGCGAAGACCGGCATCGATCGGCTGTACATTTTTGTCGGATTATTGATGCTGCTGGCTTTATACTTGGTGTTTGGATTGGGACAACAGCTAGTGTGTAATATAATCGGTTTTGTTTATCCCGCATACCAATCTATGAAGGCCTTGGAAAGCCCCAAGAAAGAGGACGACACAAAATGGCTTACTTATTGGGTCGTTTTTGCCGTATTTACTATAATAGAATTCTTTTCTGAATATATCGTCTGCTGGTTTCCGATTTACTGGCTGTTCAAGTGTATATTCTATGTATGGTTGATGGCGCCAACCGAGTACAACGGTTCCTTGATTCTATATCGCCGAGTCATCCGTCCAACGTTTATACAGTATCAACCTGGATTAGACAGACTGTTGTCCAATGCACGTGATACAGCAGTCAAGACTGCAGCGGAAGCATTGCTGACCAACAAGCAAGATTAATGAAGCTGTAAATCGAACATAATAGAAAGTCCATTTGTGTCTTTCCCTTTACTCATTCCTAGCAGAGAAAGAGAGAGAGAGCGTGGTTTAATATTTTTAAGATCCTATTTAAGCAGCAATATACTCTCGGTGGGTTGCCTGCCATCTGACAAAACTTGGTCCTAACTGGATTTGAACTCGGTTCTCCAGCTCACTAGACCAGCGCATATCTCTCTGCGCCACGATCGCTCTCTGCGATTACATTATGCGATCTTGCTGTTTTGATATCGCTTCTATTGATTGTTGCAATGTTCGAGTGAATGTGAGTTCTGCATTGAATTGCGTAAGCCGCCGTATAAAAGCCATTGTCCGTTACTATGGCTTCCCATTTCTAAAACGGACGTTTTTCAATCGTGGTTGAATATTTATCGTGGCTTGGAGTTATCTGACATTTTAAAGCATTTGAGTTTTGTTTTTTGAAGCACAATTATAGTGATTATTATTCATTAAAAATCTAAAGGTGTTAATTAATAAATTGCATAGTTTGTAATTTTATTATATAATATCTTTTAAACATTAGATTTAAACATTACACATTTACGAGGGTAAAGAATTAAACATGAAATATTTATAAGATTACAGAGATATATGTATATAATAAAATTAGGAATTGTACAATTCATTGATATATCTTGAGATTTTTGAATCAACAGCTACGATGATCGAATATCCAGATGCAACCTAAGCGCCCTAAAAAGTCGGAAGGCATTTGTGGCGTTTTCAGCGCTGCGATCTGCGATTGGCAGTACTGTTTTCGCGAGTCGCGGTGAATCTCTCATTAACGTAAATCGCAGTCGGTCGGAAGTCGAAACGCGCCGCGGTGATCGCAGGATCGCATTGAACCGCTCCGTCTTTTCCGCGATTGTCCTCGCCTACGAAAGAATCTCGCGCGCGAGAGATTACACCGCGAATAGGTATTTCTCATCGGACGTTCTTCGCGAGTATCGCGTCAAGTATCGCGCGAGATCGCCGTTATTGCGATTCCAATCTCGGAGCGATCCGCTTTTACGTGCCGGAGTCGATCCGGAGTCGATCGAAATCATTTCCGCGTCGAAAGTGCATCGAGGGAGCGATATGCGCAACACGTACGGACAGGTATGTACAGCCTTATTGTTCCAGTTTTAGAGGCGTTAAAAGCGTATCGAAAAAGCGCGAACGAAGCGTCCGCGAAAGGCGAAGGGGAGTTCATGTCGGGAAAAGAGTCTCGTAGCGCGGGACGGCGCGATTTGAAAAGTTCAGTTCCGTGCGCTAACGCCCTCTCGGCGTTGCGGCGAATCCGAGAAACAGTAAGCCGACTAGCTGAGACAGGTACGGAGGGTAACAGGGGAAATATATGTTAAATTTCTTGCGAGATACGGTTCATATGTATCTACAACGAAATAATCGAGTTGAAATAATCGTGCAATATAATAATTGTTGTAAAATTAATAGCGAGTTATAGTATTGGATGTTACACGTTACTGCTCATTTTATCTTTGTTATAAATTTCATAAACTCATTTTTCGAACTTTGACTGTATTAGGAGTTAGAAACGTCGGTAAGCAACGTACCGTGTCGCTTCGCAAGAAGAGACGAATTAAAAAATAAATAATTGTGTTACATATATGACTATATATAAATAGAGCTTTTACACGAAATCAATTCTGGTAATAAAATAAAAAAATCTCAGCGATGTTATAAACGTCTAGTCAGAAATAATTAGTCGAATCGACGTCGATTTAACGTCGATACATTGATAAATGGTCGATATCGAATACTAGTTGATATTTTTGTCATCTTCGACCTCATTATAGTTTTTTTTTTATATTAATTCAGCAATTACGAAATATTTCTATAAGATTTTTATATATTGTCCTTCGGCCAGTTTTACGTCAAATCAATAAAATCAGTAAAATCGAAAAGCACAGTATGTAAAGTATATACTGATGTGTTCGATGTAGTGAATTGGTCAAATCACAATAGAAATATGACACAACATAAAAACAATTATGACAAGGTAAAAAAATAACAAAAATATCAATCAGTATTCGACAGTAGGATCATTCGGACACATTAATGTCAAATCGACATATTATTTCATAGCTGGGCGGTCGAGAGGATAGGCGCGGCAGTTCTTATATACGGGATTGCATTTATTTCTCGTACAACTAATCACATTTATTACACCACAATACACGACGGTACACTTAATAATTTAATCGAGTCTAAGTGATAATCGGTACAGTAGCAATCGATTAATGCGGAGGTATAAATAGCATACTCTTACTGCGTAACATCGCGTACACAACTCTACGATATATGTACTTGCCGTTCGTAAATTCCGAATAAAAGTTGCATTCCTCCTCGGCGACGATTCTCGGCCTGGGAGAAATTCGTGTGTAATACACTTTTTTTTTTTAGCCGTGATAGAGTTATTTTGTTACATCGAATTACGTACAGGGGCGTGGATAAGTTGCCCGTTAACGTTATATCATGTCATATCTGTACGCGACAGTCAGGGATTAAAGTCACCGAGAACTAATTGGCTAATCCATGTGAAATCGAGCGTGTGTTGCAATAACATCGATTTTTCTCTCTCTTTCTTCTTCTATTATTGGTCGCAATGTAATTATTGTTGGCGATCTATCACACGTGCGCAATATAATAAGTTAAGAAATATTGTGAAGAGAAAATTACATTGCGTTCTTTACAGATAGAGACTCTCTATCCATAAAATAGCTGCAGATTATTATCGAAGAGTCTTTAAATTCGAGAATATTAATAAAATTAAATACTTTTATTAATTTAAAAACTCTTAAATATATATATAATTATTTTATCTTGGAAAATTATTTTACATTGTAAAATATGTATATATGTACGAAAATTTTGTAAAAATTTGAAAATGCCTTACTCGATAATGCAAAAATGCCTTAAGTATATTTTATTGTTTGATATGCTAATTTTCAAGTTCAAATTAAAGTTTATTTATTCTAACATTTAATTTGTATGTGAAGATAGTCTCATATAGATTTAATAATTTATAATATATTAAAATTAATAACAAAATTTGTATTAAATGTTTTAATTGGCTTATAAGTAAATTTCAGTATTTGAGACAGTTTGTACGTAACGTTAAGGAGAGTTGTTAAAAATCTAAATTATATGTCGAGATGAATGTATTCGAGATATATGCTTAACTTGTCGAGAAACATTCAGCAAGATTGAATATTCAATCCTCGAGAGATTGAATATTCGATCGAAGTGCCTTCACACTTGAAAGTGCCCTTCGGGTACGCGATGGAATTCGAGTGGCGAGTTTATTGACTCTGAATTCTTCTCGAGTTCGTTTTGCTTTTCCTTTAATTCCTTCAACGATAAGCTGAAAATTGATTCCCTTCCCTTACGGATGCGATAATAAATGATTTTATTCATGCGCGGTCTGCATGTCCGATCTATTGGTTTCGATCGCACGCGAAAAAGGCCTCTTTAATCCCCGACTGTACGTATTATTCGCGAATAGATGATATAGTCTTTTAATCTTAATCTAAAGCTATCTTAAGTTGGTACATTTTATACATGTAATTATAGCGTAGGTAATGGAGACGACAGATCTCATTTCAAGTTAAATAAAGGTGCTAGATCGATTAGTATAATTAATACATTCAATTTAGAGAAAAATTATATGTAAATTCCAATTTAATTTTTCTGTAGATTGCGAAAATCCAAATAAAAGAAATCATTAAAAAAACTCGAGAATGCAAATATTCACTAGTGACTCGAAAAGTGACATTTTACGTGTGATACATATATTTGTGGAAAGATTAAAATTTGATACTCATTTTCTGACTCCTCTTTTCCTTATTTTTTACGAAAAAAAATCAACAATCCAATAATTATGAATTTTTGTGAAATATATATTATACATATAATTTCACAAAAATTCAGAATCGCCGAATTATGTTTTTATTGTACGTATCATGTTAAAAATTTAAAAAAAATTTGTTATGTGAAAGTTGCATCAATAAAAATTATTAGATATATTACAAAAATTACATATTATATAAAAAATAAAAAACCATTTTTATTATTTCCGTTTCTTGTTATTAGAAAATAATAAAATTTAACATAATTCTGGAGTTTTTATCAAAATTATGTAATTGTTTTACAATTGAGATGTTTAATTATAGCTCAATTCAATTTGAAATAATAATTGCAAGAGTCTACATTGTAAGAACCTCGGTGCGAAACTCGGAATGCGAAAGTTCAATCGCCGCGATCTTTGATTTCAGGGCTCATCGTTTTGCAACGTGAAGATCGATCGAGGATCGAGATCGATCGTCTCCGTAGTACGTAGTATTATTGGCTCGCGGACGCAACGACGTGAACATCCGTCGTTCATCTGTGATGTTATCGATCGCCCGTCAGAATCGTTTCCACCGACATCACGTTCAACCATCGTTAAAATCGTAAGTACATACATACATTGTCAACTACGGCACACACGAAAGAGCGTACGACTGTTTTCTCCTCGTTCAAGAACAAGGGCGATCACATCTGATCTGTTTCCCACGGGATTCTCTTCCGGAAAAGAAACGCTCGCACGTGATTAGCGCGGCTATAGTTCAAATCTGATTTAATATTCAACGTGTAGTTAGACATCTATCGACATCAAGAAAAACGTACATCCAAATAATTTTTTAATATTTTTGTATGACAAAACGTTTTTTTTTTCTTTGTGAAGTCGAAAATCGCTCTATAAATATATTGCATTTCAGGTATTCCGCTTATTTTTTTCTTGCGATTATAACTGTCTTTAATTAACAGATTAACTTATTGTACATTGCTTAAAATGTTTTTTTTTCTTATGATATATAAATACATGAATAATTTTAAATTACTGACGATTGAAAAGGAAAAAATTTTTTTTTAATATACAAATGCACGAATAATTTTTAATTATTAACGGTTGAAAAGGAAAAATTTATTGTGACTTGTGTTATGTCGATGTGGATATAAGAGTTAGAGTCTCATTAATCACACGGAGATTCAAAGATAATATGCACTTC